TGAAGGAGGGACCCCCACGGAGGATGGGACTGTGCTCCTATCTTGAGCAGTGATGCCAGCAGGGAAAGAGAGGCAACTCCCCAATGAACCCTTCCAAAGCTCACCGACTGATTCCAGAGAACCCCGGGAACATGAACTGCGTGTGTCGAGACCACCGACTAACACACTATAAAAGAAGGGAGAACGAGTTCTCAGTGACCACCCTCCAGAACTGGATCTCTACGCTGGCTGGACCAGCGCTGGACCCAGGACTGGTGAAACCCTTTTCTTCTCTCTTCCTTTCTTTTCTTTCTTTCTTTTTCTCTCTCTCCCTCTTTTTCTTATCTCTTTTCCACAGTCCCTACACCTCATCCTTTTAAACATAAACTGTTGACCAAGTCTGGGACTAGGAGTGGATCTAGCCGCCCCTGGGCTCCTCTTTGAGAAGGAGTCTAGAAAGCAAGGGGGTCTGCTCTGAACCATGCAACTCAACGGGAGGGCTCTCCTGACACAGTTTCATGTTCCTTTTTCCGCTTCTTTTTCTAACACCTCCCTTCTCTTTTCAAACAGCAGCTTAATGACATGATGCGAGGTTCATATTGATAAGTTCACTTGTACTTGGGCAAGGTTAGCTAGGTTGAATAAATGTTGATTGTTGTTTGAAGTCCCCTGGTGTCATTTCACCTTAATTCTGACAAAGGAAATCCACGAACCTGAGTTGCTCCAATTTTGGGATGCAATACCTGGTCATGAGAGGTTCCCTTATCTGCAAGTTCTTCAGGTTCCACAACTTCCTCGCTGCATCATCCTTTTACCTTTACCATTTATCAATTTCGTAAGTATTCCTGTCACAAATTAGTAGCATTCATAGAATCATAGAATTGTTTAGGTTGGAAAAGACCTTTAAGATCATCAAGTCCAACCATTAACCTAGCACTGCCAAGTCCACCACTAAACCATGTCCCTAAGTGCCACATCTACATGTCTTTTCAATACCTCCAGGGATGGTGACTCCACCACTTCCCTGGGCAGCCTGTTCCAGTGCTTAACAACGCTTTCGGTGAAGAAATTTTTCCTAATATCCAATCTAAACCTCCCCTGGCGCAAGGCCACTTCCTTTTGTCCTATTGTTTGTTACTTGGGAAAAGAGACTGACACCCACCTTGCTACAGCCTCCTTTCAGGCAGTTGTAGAGAGCTATAAGGTCTCCCCTCAGCCTCCTCTTCTCCAGACTAAACAGCCCCAGTTCCCTAAGGCTGCTCCTCATAAGACTTGTGCTCCAGGCCCCTCACCAACTTGGTTGCCCTTCTCTGGACACGCTCCAGCACCTCCATGTCTTTCCTGTAGTGAGGGGCCCAAAACTGAACACAGGACTTGAGGTGTGGCCTCACCAGTGCTGCATACAATGCCCATTAGCAGTCAAACACTTAAGACACGCAATTTTACAATACATTCCCTTGAACAAAGATTTGACTGTCTTTATTACTGCTGACATTTCCAATTAGTTTACCCCTGCACCTAAAGTAAATGAGCTAAATTCAGTTCAGGAAAACCAATTGCTTTCTCCTTCCCTGACTCACCTTTTATTGTGCAGTCCCTGCTCCCACTGTCAGCTTTTAGTCAAAGTTATTCTCATTAGTAAAACCAAGATGACGTAGATGAGGTATGTAAGGGCTGGCCTTGGGTCTATAAAAAGACCCAAGGAGGCCTTTTTATGAACTTTGCAAATATGAATTAAAATGTTTTTAGGAGACCAAGTGTAATACAATATATTTTAAAACAATGCTTCTCCTCTGATTAACAAAATTATTCTCTCTCCTCAATTAGCGGAGTAAATTACTTTTTTTTCTCTTTTTTTTTTTTTTTTTACACTTACAATTTTGGTTTCTGGAAACTGGAATTAACTATGCTTTTCTGCTGAGAAACATCATATAAATTATGCCTTTCTGTGCCGTACAGACCCTAGGGTTTCATTAAGTGACTGCATCTCCTGTACAGCTGGAGATGAAAAACTTACAGGGATGATACAGATGGAAAGGTCATTAACAGAACTAAAGAAATCCATCTGCAAATCTCACTCTGTAAAGGTTTTATGTAACAGCTCTATCTAACTGAGATGGTATTGAGTAACAGGCAGCATGCTGAAAGTCTTCTAATGCTTTCCAAAGCCTGGATTTATGGATGGGGGGATAAATCATTGTATTGCTTATAGTCTGATGGATGAAGAGTGGAGAGTTCTAGAGCCTGGTGATTTATTAAATATGGATGCTGTTATGGGTTCTTTCAAAATGAAGAAAGACAGCTCAAAGAATGATTTAGTCTGCATTTAGCACAACCAGTTTCAGAAATGAGCAAGTGAATACAGCTCTCTCCAGAAGTTCTTGAAAAATGTAAGGAATAAGCATTTTTCAATTAAATATCATTAGGAAAAAGTGAGAGAGATTATAAAGGTGATAAGGTATTGTTTGGTTAACTAAAGAGTTACCCCTTAACAGGTTTAGTTAGGACTTCTCATGCAATATTTTTACCTTCATGAGAGACTGTGAACCATTCCACAAGACAAACGTCTGTGTATGAGCTGTGTAACCAGTATCAGAGTTATCCAGTTACCAACTGATGGAAAGTTCCTCTAGTCCAATGCTCTCTCTGTGCTTTTATGATCTGAGGTTGTGGAACTTTCCTGTTCTTACCACAATTCTGGCAAATCTACAAGGCTTAGTTTGAACTTCTTACACCTTACTATGTAGCTGGATTCACATACTGATTCCCTTGGGCTATTTAATTCTTCACCTTACTTACTAATTTTGCTAAATACACGGTCAAGGAATAAGCTGTAGCAATTTTACCACTAGATTCAAGCAGCACAAAATCAAAAAATCTAAATGACAACAGCACAACTTACACAACTTCATTGGGTTTCACTGTATTTGAGAAACCCGTTTGTAACCAAAGATATCTTTGCTTTTCGTTACACTTTACAGAATTGTTACTGCTTGCAACTGCAATTCTGCTTAACATACAAGAACTGCAACATTTTTTTCCTACACATCTTGAAGTGAAGCTTATCATTCTTGACTGTTTGCATTCTCACATTCTTCCCTTACTGCTCTACAGAGATGTAAATGAATTTTTATATGTAATTTTGTATGCAAGGGTGTTGGGACAACAGTGCTTCTAGGACTTATGGTGAATACCTAAGCACAACATTTGAACATAAAATTTTGAATTACTTAAAGCAATGAAAATAAAGTCTCCTGGTTATGTCCCATTAGCCCAAGGTCCTAATACCTTACTTAAATTTGCATACACTTCCCAGTTTATTGTCAAGGGATGAATTTATGATGCAAGGTGCTTTCCAGCATAGGCAAAGGTATCATTGTTTTGCCTACTTGCAAAATATTATTCCATCCATTCTTCAAACAGCCACCACTCTAATGAAAAAAGTAAATGTAAATTCTATGCAGGACCTGCCATGGAATTAAACAGATATATTCAAATATCTAAAAAAAAATAAATTATGGAATATTTGAGTAACTCTGCTCTCTGTTGAAAGTGCAGCTATTGAATGTGCTTGAGCCTGGGACTTCAGAGCTACAGACAGAACTGAAGCTGTGTGTCACCCCCTGCAGGAAAAATAACACTGATGGGCTTAGCCATATGAATCCCTATAGCACAGCTCTGGTCCTGGATGTGTTACTTTGTTTTCTATACACATATCTTCTATTCCTAACTGAAGCAATCAGAAACTCTTAGCAGATTTTAGCAAGACTGAATTTTTGGTACCTCATTAATTGCTGGTCAATAAAGCACAAAATATATTCAAAATAACAATAATTTCATTCCCTAAGAATAGTGCTGATGAATCAAAAATGCACCTCCAGCAATCCCTATTATTAAAGACACCATATTCAAGGAATTTTGTCTTTAGCAGCAGAAGCTAACTTTAACAAGGCATAATACACAGTTTTAAAGACTTTCAGAACAGTATAGATTGTTGTCACAAGTTTGTACAATTCTTATAACATCAGAGTCCAGCTACATAGCAGCAATGGCACTCCACTTTTCCTCTGCTTTTTGACTGGCCAGGAGCAATCAATAAATTGAAAATACTGAACAAAGGGAATCTTTAGGAGAATTAGAATACAACTGAAAACATTGGCAAGGACCTCTCCCCATAGCTGGTTCCCAAGAACCACTATATGCACATGCTTGTGTGAAGCTGGGGTAAGAAATTGCAATTTTATCCATTGCTTGCACATTTAAATAAAGCTATAAATGCTAAGAAATAGACCTGCCATGTCATGCATCTGCTTTTGAAGTGGAATTGTTCTGTTTATTATTCCTGTGCCCTCACACCTACAGACAGACTTACAAGCTATGAAAACCATGGACTAAATGAAGAGGAAAGAGGACTGGAGAAACTAGAAAGTAACTAACTAGTTTTTCCTTGCCTCAGGAAGAAACACACTCACGCACAAAGCAATTACTAAAGGATTATTAAACAGAAGCAACCACAGGCATTTATATTTCCTGTCTCCTCTAACTCCTGTTGGTGAAAATCAAAGCCTTAAGTTTCAAAACAATGCAAATTATGAAACTAAGTTACAGTAAAGGAGTCATATTTGACAGCAGATTTATTGCTAATTAATACAATTTTACAGTGATTTCTGGTAGTTCTGTTCACTTAGATTACTTTGATTTGAAGGTATATATTTGTTAAGAAGTTGGAAACAACAGAATGTGAACACCAAGGCAAAACTACCAAAGAAGGATACAGAGGAAGAGACCAGGACCTCTTTATTAGGCTCACTGCTTATATTACTATCGAATATAAAAGTAGTCCTCTTTTTAAGGAACCAAAGTAACTATGAGTATTTATTTTACAATTCCAAATTTCTTGGGAAAAAAGGTTGCTATATATTTCTATAAATTGATCTGTACAGACAAAGGATTCTTATTTGAATACTACAAAGTATTTCATCAGATTACATATATATAAAAAAAAGACCATAAAGCTTTTAGTTTATAGAAATATAACTACAAGCACAAGATGTACATTCCTCACATTCTTACTGGAGCTCTGCAATCCGCTGGAAAGTTGGCAGATTTATGTTCTTCTTCTTCTTCTATATAAAAGTTATAGATTTCATTGCCAAACTCCTGTTCGCTGTTGGTTATCACCAGCATGCTCAAAAAACATGAAGTCCTAAGAAGGAACCAAAAAGCAAACAAAACAAATACTTCTTAAATGTGATTCTTAGTTCAGAGATCTCCTGGTTGCTTTGCAAGGTATTCAAAGCACCTTCCTCTCGGAAACCTCAAATGGTAAGAAGGTGGGGGCACCCCTCTCCACCCTCCCATCACCTGGGTTCTGTCAGAATAGGACACCCACAGAGAGAGAAAGAGGTGGTGAAAGACCTACATGGAAACTTTAAACTATCACTAGCCAAAGCTATGCTTCCTTTACTCAGGACTCCTGCCCCGGCTTTGTTCAACCTGACTCAGTCCCCTCAATTTTACCTCAAACTGGCATCCATCATAATGGTCACTATCTTTAGTTTACAACTGGGGGCCCCATTTTCTGTGTCTGGAGTCCTGGGTTGCTCGCACTCACTAATGCTGTACTTCATGCACATGGTAGCACACGAATATGCACAGCTAAGGAAAACCTGGTTCATGCACAGGGCTGTTTGTTAGAAGCTGGTAAGAACTTTCCAAACTCATGGTGCTTCACACGCCCCTTTCCTCCTCCTCTGCAGCTCTGCCAGCACAGAAGCACTTTTTGAAATGGCACCTGATGCTGAATTGCACAGGTAAGTGGAAACACGAGTGTGTCACACACTGTTTTCAAAGAGCAAAGTGAGCTGCGCTGCAGCATTTGACATGACGGAGTCAGAGTGCAGCTGAAAAGCCCTGTATCAAGTTAGACGTGCCTTGCCTCCACAGAAGTCCCTCCCATACTCCTCTGAGAGCATTTAATTCAGCTCAGCTCAGTGCTTCACATGCTTCCAAAAAGGAGAGTCAGGAGGAACTGGCTGCAGCATTCAGCTGCCCAGTTCACCAGCTCAGCAGGCTGCTCTGGCTCTGGATGGGTCTCTTGGCTACTGCTGATCTTCACTTTTCTGGTCTCCCCACCCACAAAAACATGCTTTCCTCTGCCAATGAGTCTGTAAGGAGCCTTTCCTTTACAAGATTTCTCAGTCCCATCACATATGAAGCTCTGCTTAAATATAGTTAGCGCTTCATGTAGTCTAGAATAAGCTTACTATCTGAAATAATGTCTTTGTTGCCCTCCATGGTTAGTTTTACACATGGGAAGTTCACAACAAGCTGTCACCCACTTCAAGGAGCTCAGAGTCAAATCTTTTATCAGCACGACTTGAACATGGAGATGAGTTCATATTCAAGTATTAGTAAATGACAGACTTACGATAAGGAAACAAGCACCGATCATGACAGCTTTCATTTTTACATTAAGGTCCATTGGGAATGTGATTCCAAAGTTATCTGCATCTGTAAAGGCTTCTTTCAAAAACCCAGTCCACTGCTTAGAAATCCTCCCAACAGTAGAAGTCTCATCCACAGACTTCACCTAGTTTAATACAAAATTAAAAGAACAACATCAAATCTGTCATTCATAATATTCCCAAATCCTTTTCATGATAGATCCATTTGAAAGCTTCATGTTGTGTTATTCAAATTGATGCAGCCATTGAATGCAACTGTTTGTACCAAAAGGCAACCTTGACTATCAGAAAGTCAGTCTTAAGTAGCACAGACATGAACTTAATTCTAAACCTGACTGTGGAGTTCAATGCTTTAATGGTGTTGGAAGACAGCTACCGCACGCACACACACACACACTCTGCTGGAAGTGTTGTCTTGTAGCCAAGAGAGCGAATTAGTTTATCCTGCCATGTATCAGGAACTGCTCAAGTGAAAATTAAACAAATTACATTCTTCTGTTGCGAAGCAGAGATTAGCCCTTTGTCATTATGTTTCCTAAAGTTAGAGCCAGTCTTCAGGGTCATGTGAAAGACTAGTCCCCAAAATAAAATGATACCAAATTTGCTTTAGCAACTATTTGCAACATCATTTTAAGTATTAAATGGTAGACTAGTGTATCTAGTAGGCCTGTCAGTCTGAGGCCAGAAGGAAGATCCGGGGAACTACAGGCCTGTCAGTCTGACCTCGATGCCGGGGAAGGTTATGGAGCAGATCATTTTGAGTGCCATCACGTGGCACGTACGGGACAACCAGGTGATGAGGCCCAGTCAGCACGGGTTTATGAAAAGTAGGTCCTGCTTGACCAACCTGATCTCCTATGACAAGGTGACCTGCTTAGTGGATGAGGCAAAGGCTGTGGATGTTTTCTACCTAGAATTTAGTAAAGCCTTTGACACTGTTTCCCACAGCATCCTCCTGGAAAAACTGGCTGCTCATGGCTTGGATGGGTGTACTCTTTGCTGGCCAAAAAACTGGCAGGATGGCCGGTCCCAAAGGGTGGTGGTGAACGGAGTTAAATCCAGTCGGCGGCCGGTCACAAGTGGTGTTCCCCAGGGCTCGCTATTGGGGCCAGTTCTCTTTAATATCTTTATCAATGATCTGGATGAGGGGATCGAGTGCACCCTCAGTAAGTTTGTGGATGACACCAAGTTGTGAGGGAGGGTTGATCCACTCGAGAGTAGGGAGGCTTTACAGAGGGATCTGGACAGGCTGGATTGATGGGCTGAGGCCAATTGTATGAGATTCAACAAGGCCAAGTGCTGGGTCCTGCACTTGGGTCACAACAACCCCATGCAGTGCTACGGGCTTGGGGAAGAGTGGCCAGAAAGCTGCCTGATGGAAAAGGACCTGGGGGTATTGGTCAACAGCCAGCTGAATATGAGCCAGCGGTGTGCCCAGGTGGCCAAGAAGGCCAACGGCATCCTGGCCTGTATCAGAAATAGTGTGGCCAGCAGGAGCAGGGAGGTGATTGTTCTCCTGTACTGGGCACTGGTGAGGCTGTGCCTTGAGTCCTGTGTTCAGTTTTGGGCCCCTCACTACAGGAAAGACATGGAGGTGCTGGAGTGTGTCCAGAGAAGGGCAACCAAGCTGGTGAGGGGCCTGGAGCACAAGTCTTATGAGGAGCGGCTGAGGGAACTGGGGCTGTTTAGCCTGGAGAAGAGGAGGCTGAGGGGAGACCTTATAGCTCTCTACAACTGCCTGAAAGGAGGTTGTAGCGAGGTGGGTATCAGTCTCTTTTCGTAACAAACAATAGGACAAGAGGAAATGGCCTCAAGTTGCGCCAGGGGAGGTTTAGATTGGATATTAGGAAAAATTTCTTCACCGAAAGCGTTGTTAAGCACTGGAACAGGCTGCCCAGGGAAGTGGTTGAGTCACCATCCCTGGAGGTATTTAAAAGATGTGTAGCTGTGGCACTTAGGGACATGGTTTAGTGGTGGACTTGGCAGTGCTAGGTTAATGGTTGGACTTGATTATCTTAAAGGTCTTTTCCAACCTAAACGATTCTATGATTCTGTGATTCTATCCACTACTTAATGTGTATGAAAATAATGATGCATTAATCACTATTATTTTTAAGTGGAAGGTGTAACTCTTCAGTCATTCAAATCTATATTTTAGGTCTAAATTATCTTGATTTACTTGGTCATTGAATGATTATTAAATGATTAGATGAGTGGTTGTAGGAAGTCATTTTAATAATTTCCAATACAGCTGAGAATAAAGTTTTTTTGTTAGGGCCTAACATAATAGATTCAAAAAGATTTTGCTCCTAAATATTTCAATTAAGAGATTTGTGTGCAACCACAGAGAATCAGTCTCACTGATCACTGATGAGTGGCTCTAAGATGTCATTTCTAGAAGTTTATCTGGCTTATCTAGGGTAATCTAGATATCTAGAGAAGTGAAGTGATTTACACTAGCATTAAAAGATTATGTACTAACTACTTAATATATACTACAGTTCAGTTGACAGGTAATAAGTCGAGCAACAAACTACTATCAAACTACATCTGAAAGAAGATACAAACAAACAATTTTTAGCATTGCATACCTCAAAATGAATGTCTTCACAACAGCTGCAGACAACACATGGGCCAATAATTTTCAGTATATCCATTCTTTTCTCATCTTGAATGGTAAACTTTGGTAGGCAGGGATGCCAGTTCTGGACAACATAACCGACTGGTGTTCCTGGAGGTGCCTGAACTTCCAGCTTCACAGGAAAAAGAAAATCACCACGTGAATGTTCATGCTTTGATAAACTTGTTAGACAAAATCCACACTAGCACACAAACCAAACACTAGTTTTTTCCACAACAATCTGGTCTTCCAATGCATGAAGCTGCATGGGATTTTCTGTGAACATTTTCAGAAAACTGCACACAAATTGCAACTTTTGCCTTCACTGAAAACAATAAGAACCTCCTAAGGCTGTGGAGCAAGCAAGGTATGTATCTACAGTAGAAAGATCAAAGTCTAATAAAGGAAAGGCTGTGGGCATCCTCAAAGCATTCAGTGAAGACATCGCACGATGCAGCTACTACAAATCCCTCAGTAAGAATTCTGAGTAGGCTCAGATTTGAGGCTTCAGAAGTTGCATCACCCCGTAATTATTTTAATATTAAAAAAGCTCATAATTTCATGTGTTGAATTTCACTACATCTTTCACAGCAGTATAGTGAAAACTCTAGCTGTTATTTTATGAAAACCATTGCCCAACTCTTACACCACAAGTCCATCTCCAGCACAGATTTCAGCACTATCCACGAGTTCCCTGACATGCTGTTGAATCAAATTTTTCATTACCATAATCAGAAGTGGCCAGAGTGAACCTAAGTGTTGCAGCACACTAGCTTCTTCCCAGACCAAGGAGACCCCATGCACAAATCCCACAGATGTCTTTCCCCACAACTTACAGACAAAACCTGACTTGTTTCACCTCACCTCCTGATTCAAGACAACCTCATCTTAAAACTACACAGGTGGACCATGTCCCATGTGAGGGAAGATGGCAAGAGGGAGCAACTCACCTCCTGTAAGCAGCAGGGAAAGCAGCACGAAGAACACCGGAGGGGTCTCTGCAGCGTGATCACCTCATGGCCCAGGTTGTCTATAATCCGGATGGTGAAGGGTCGTGATGGCCCACAGCAATTCCTGGTACAGCAGTCAGTGTCCTCTGCTGCAAAGTACACCCTTTGCCCCAGTGTATTCTTGATTTCATATTTGTTGTTTGTTTCAAAGCCAGTGAGAACTGAAAAAAAGGAACAGAACTGTTAAATTTCTGAGGTGCATCTGGTCAGAAAAGTCCCCATGCTAACTCTAAAGCTACCCTTTGGGAAGGCAGGCCTCACTCACAGTCTGTCAGAGGCAGCTACAGGCGAAGAAAAGTGGTGGGGAAGGAACCCTCAAGCACAGAAGCCTGACAGAGAAGTTCAGAGAGGAGAAGACACCATGAATGCAGCAACACAGAAAGAGCATGGAGATGTCCATCAGTCCCCTCCCACCAGACACGGACACCTACTGCCAGAGCAAGCACCACAATTATAAATAACAAAGCATGGAAGATTCCCAGGGAAGACCTGAAGGGAGAAGAATTAAAGAAACTTGTGTATTTGGGGGTGAAGCAAGAAAAGGGCTCTAGAGGGCACAAATACATTCAGAATGAGAAGGCCACAAAAAAAGCCTCACAGTCAAGATTCACGGCAGCACAAACAGAAAACAACAAGAGCCAGGACAGAAATTTTGATTAATTTCTCTAACAAATGAAAGTACTCTTTGAAGCATTATGGAAAGAAAACACAGAAGCATTAGGTGTCAGCCGAGATGGATGGTCCATCTTACTTCTTCTATTTGAAAGACACAACATGACTTTGATATTCTTAAAGTGAACAGAATGAGGGGAGCAAAATTGCCTGGAAACGAGATCGGAGCCGCATGCCAGTCTATGGAATTAGATGGAGTAAGAGAGGACAGAAAAGACGCCCTTCAAGTAGGGAAGAGAGGCAAGTAGAAATCATGTGAATGAATAACATGGGAAATGTGTGACTTCAACTATAAATAGCTACCAAGATTATTCAGTTGCATTGCTATGTATCTTTTAAGATACAGAACCTGCTTAAAATCCTTTGCCCTCCTATTTTCTCCTTCCTCTCCTCCACAACTTCTGCAGGAATTGAGACAGATAAGAGAGGCAGGAAAAAGAAAGGTGGTGATCCACTTTAAATACGTAGTGTCAAAGAAAGTCTGAATTTTACCATTTTTGGGATTATTAGATTTAAACATTTCTCTGTTATAAATACTTTTCACTTACTCTCAAGAAGTTCAATTTGCTGATGAATTAATATCTGGTCAATCTGTTTGTGGTTGAAAAATTAAACAGAATAAATAGTTAACAAGTTGTAACTAAGAGAAATCTGGTTTTAAGAAGCATTGCTGTTTCATTTCAGAATGCAGATTTATTGATCAATACTTTGTCTAAAGGCAGATCATCTACTGGTAAAGCTGTGGAAGTTGCTTACATCCCCCCTGCCCTGTTCTCTGTCAGTTTAGTAGAACAGTGTTTCAGAGCACCAGAGCAGTTGGCAGAAGTTGTACCCAAGCTAGCCTGGTTACAAGCATGCAGGGCTAATGTGCCTGTGCTCCTTTGAGGACTCGGTAGCTCAGCTACAGAGCCTGACAGAGCCTCTGACACCACATATCCCAGATGCCTGGGATATCAGGAGTCCATACAGACAAAAGCAGGAAACTGAGAAATTTTAGAGCAGAAGCTCAGCTACTGCTCAGCTCTAAGTGAAACTTGGGAAAAGTCAGCCTCTCCTCACTGATGCCTTTTTTTTTTTTTTTTTTTGAGCAGTTTGCAAAACTGGCAACAGTACATCAGTGTTAAGCCTTGATATTTGCTCCTAGTGATGAGATGAACTGTACTTTTACAGTACAACAACATATTCTGCAATGTGGAAACAATTCTTATTTTGCTATTAGCATCCTCCACATTGTGAAGTCTGACTAGCACCTCTCCTAACAGCATTATGAAGAGGTGTGAAGAAAGCATCATGTAGAAAATTAAGCACCCCTAATGTGCTACAGTTGCCCATATTACATATATATTATATACACCTTGCCAATTCACATTACATCTCACAAACAGTAGCTTCAGAAATCAGAAGGATATATGATAGACCTGTGCCCCCAGTCCTTTAGCATCTCACTTGGCAGGAGAGCACTCTGTGAAGTGCTGCAGCCATAACAGGCACCTCCACACTCAAACATGCATCAATCACATTACAAAAGACTTCACTTAGTAGCTCAAAAGCAGCAACCCATGGAGTTGCAACAAAGCCAGATGCTTTTCTTAGCTTTCTTGATGGATGCAGGCTGCTTCTCAGGTGAATACCTGTTCTCTGGGGAAGGAGGAAGGGTGCAGGTACCTGTGTGAGGTATTCCAGTCCAGGAGGACAGTTGGGAAGAGAAGGAGGAATAGGCATCCAGATAGTCCCCTCCTTCACAATGGGCTGGTTCTGGATGGGTGGAACAGCAAGTCCAGCTGGGACTCCCATGGCCTGTACCTGGAAGCCATAGTTCTCCATGCCTGCGACACCTAGGGTGGTAGGAGAGATGCAGTTATGAAAGTTAGATGTTGGAAAAGAATTGCCCCATGGATCTTCAAAAGATTAATTCATTCACCATTTTGAACTGTGAAGATCCTCATACCTACAATATACTTCAGTTATGAATACTACAACCTTCGTGAAGGATGTTACACTGGATTGGGAAGTTCTAATCCCTCCAGACAAAACCAAAGAAAATAAGTAAATGCACCATTCTTGAATATAGCAGAAATTTTATTCACATAAAGATAGGCAATTCAAAAATTAGAAATAAATAAATGAAGGTTATTTCTAAGTAGAGAAGCCAGAATACCTTAAAATAAATGAAAAGTATTGGCGTTTACAAATCGTCAGTTGAGCAAATGAGGAATTCTAAGACAAAGTTTTCCTGGAATTATACCTTCTACTTATGTGATAGGAAATGCCCTTTTAGCAAAGTTCATGTGCAGTTTTCAAACCAGATGAGTGTGATCTCGTCTGTTTAATGGATTCTCTTTCAAAACTCAGGAAAACTCCTTCATGGACGAGGTGTGTAGTAAAGGAAGAAATAGTTCCACATTTGTGAATGCCAAGTAAGTCTTCTCCAGCTAGCGCTCAATTGGAAACACAAGCTCTGATGAAGCTCTTCAGGGTCTACATGCTCAGCACCCCACCAGATGGCACACGCAGCACTGCTCACAACCCATCCCACATCCCCCGGGCTGTGCACAGAGCCCTGTCTTGCTTGCAGCAACACGGCCTGTGCTACGGAGATGTTTTATGACCTTGTAGCTGCTGAAGTTGCTATTGAAAGTTACAGAACAAGAACTGTATTTCTTCCCTCATTTAATATTTTCCTGGTAGGCAGATAGGCTTTCAATCTGATGCAGAGGAACCTTGTATTTTACTCAGAAGCAAGCACAAAGCAGAAGACACAAAGAGTATTTTTGTAGAGCTGTACAAAGACAAATAGTTCGAGATAATGACTTGTAGGCTTATCTTTACCCTAAATCAGTTCAGCACCAATGTTTCATATTACATTACAATACATGGACTATACCATGTGAAAGCTCACTCTCTGGCCATAAGCAGGACAGTACCTCAGGTGATGTAAACAGCCGTGGCTTAAAACTTGTGGGTGGCAGGATCACTCACCCCAGAGAAGGATCCACCATTATGGAATACTGTGCTGGTTTTGGCTGGGATAGAGTTAATTTTCTTCAGAGTAGCTGGTATGAGGCAATGTTTTGGATTTGTGCTGATAACGGCGTTGAGCCGAGGCGTTTTCTGCTTCTCCCCCCACCCCAGCAGCGAGCAGGCTGGGGGGGCACAAGGAGTTGGGAGGGGACACAGCCGGGACAGCGGACCCCGACTGACCCAAGGGATGGTCCAGAGCATACAACATCATGTTCAGCCTATAAAGATGGGGGAAGAAGGAGGCGGGGGGGGCATTCGGAGTGACGGTGTTTGTCTTCCCAAGTAACCGTTACGGGTGACGGAGCCCTGCTCTCCTGGAGATGGCTGAACACCTGCCTGCCCATGGGAAGTGGGGAATGAATTCCTTGGTTTGCTTTGCCTGTGCATGCGCGGCTTTTGCTTTACCTATTAACTGTCTTTATCTCAACCCACAGGTTTTCTCACTTTTACCCTTCCGACCCTCTCCCCTATCCCACTGTGGGGGAGGGAGTGAGCGGCTGCGTGGTGCTTAGTTGCCAGCTGGGGCTAAACTACAACAAATACAAAATCACTTTTATGTCCGAGCACAGGCTTTGCACAGAAATTGACTATCTACTGCTATTGTGTGTAAGTGTATGCGCATACAATTATTCAAGACGAAAAATGCTCCCCTGACCTTCATCGCACAGGCAGCACGTGCTCATTCCCTGCTGAAGCTACCTGTACTTGCAGACCTCAGATTGCCTTGCCACAAGGTACACAATTTTTGAATTAGGAACAGCACGGTAACTTAGGCCAAACTTTTTGCATTTTATCTGTGACCTATTCTTTGAGCCTGATTGTTAGATATTGCTCATTGTGATTTGGTTCTTCAGAAAGCAGTTAGTTGCCAGAACATGAGAAGCTATTTAGGAGTGCTGCATTTTGAATATGGGGCAGAAAGTGAGATAGAAGAGGAGAAAAGCAAATGAGTGAAAGTGTAAGGTATAACCATGTGCAAAGTACAGCGACAGAGTAGGAAACAGGTACAGAATACATGGACCAGCAGAACTACAAGGGGAAAATAGTTCTTTTCTTCAGTTCTGTATTTCTAGAGAGAAATAAAGTGAAAAACTGAAATAACACGTTAATTAAAAAATCTGATCATCAGCAAGAAGCTGCCACACATTAATTGCTTTGCACCAGTAACACCTCTCTAACAAACTCCCCACAGTGACCACTGAGGAACAGCCAACATTTTTAACTTCTACGACTGTTGGTACTGCTTACCACACGCTCACATGTAGCACCAAGAAGGACGGAAGATGACTTTTCAGCAAAACAGAAATTAACAGAAACTGTACAGAATAAACAGCAGAAAAGTAAATAAGAGCTGGTCACCCTAGTGAAACCTCCTACTTCCCATGCTTATTTCCTGATACAGCAGATTTGTAGCCAAGCAACCTACCTTGGTAAGTCCCAGGTGCATACTGTGGGTGGCCATACGGGACTTGATTTCCTGGCTCATAGTTAGCATTTGAAAATCCAGTTGCTGGGGCAGGTTTATGTGCTGGAAGAGTGGAACATACACTCTGAGTATTGCTCAATTCCTCCTACCCTAGGGTGAAGGATCCAAAACATTGTCTCCTTTTTCAGGTAGATATACAAGAAAATTAAGTAACTGTTTTCTGTATAGCAAAAACTGTATAACAAGCTTGTATTTATTCAAAATATTAAACGTCTTACTGGAACTTAAAGGAGTTCTGATCCTTAAACTGCAGAAGAAAAGGCAGGTATTGCACATGATGTCATGAAGATGTCACAGAATCACAGAATCATTTTGCTTGGAAGGGACCCCTTGAGACCACCTCGTCCAAATCCTGCTCAAGCAGGGTCAGTTCACTCTCTGTCTGGAGCAGAGGTGCCTTTGTTCGATTATATTTAGAAGGAGGCTTTAATTCAAAGAATTGCCTGAGAACTGACAGGCTGCCCTCCTGTACAGAACAGACTGGTAATGAGCCATTTTCCACTATATAAAACATTTTCCCCCAATTTCTTCAAGTTAGGACTATTCTAATGCCTCACCAGCAGACTCAGAGGGTTATGGATTTAAAAACATTTACCAAGTTCAGTTTGTAAGCAGAAATAACTTGAATTTCAATAGGATTTATTTATTTTATTTAACTTCAGAAATCAAGATCTGAAAATGTAAGCTGTATGTTTTGTAAATGATTTCATTTTAAAATGTAAATAATTTCAATTTAAAACATTCATACATATTTTATAAAATTAGAAGGCAAAATAATAGCTAAGCTAATATTGCTTGAACACCTCGGAAGGACCCATGCTATCTTTCATATTAACAAAAGATGACATTTTGTTTTTATTTTACTCACCTTGCATTGCGATGGATCTGCTTACAATTGTTCTGCAAAACAACATTTTTATTTAATGGTTTTTTTAATATACAATTTCACACAAGAGTTATTCAAAATTCTTTATTACTGATGAAAGGTACTTGCCTGTCTAAACCATATGAGAAAGCTGAATTACAAACACAAACTTTAAATATCTCAGCTTCCTTCTAGGCTATGTCTCCACCACAATGTAAGTCTGAATTATCTATGCCTGCACTCATGAAATACCCTGAAATCATCCTTAACTCAGAGGAAAGCATCGGGATGTGCAGTTATTTCATTGCAGTGCAAGACTCCATTGTGCAGCCATTCAGAAACATCATGCAATTCATATGAACAAATTACTGCAGTAATTTCAGAGCAACTGGTTTAGAGTATTGATGTTGACTACAAAACCTGCTTGGGTAAATCCTGGAGCAACCGTGATGCCATGCTATCACCTATTCAGTTCTTTATGCTTTTCCACTTCTGAAGTGGTACTACTAAATATCACGTATCCAATTTTTGTCTCCATGTGATAATAAAGGGTGGGCTTGCACAGGCCAGTGGGCTTCCACAGCAGAATATCATGAGTGAAAGGGTCAACTGCTTGTCTCTCTCTTTCTACTCTTCCAGGGTTGCCAAAATGAGTTTTAAAAAAAGCAGAAAGAACATTTACTGATGCCAGCATCAGCCTTGAGAGATACTCCTTTCAGTCTCTGGCGTAACAAGAGAAGGAAGACAATGGCAGCAACTTCTATTAAAGACAGAGGGGCAAAATAGCCAGGAGATCCATAAGTGGAAATATAAAAAAGAATGGTATAGGAGCTCCTTTTTATAGGATCTAAAGCTTTAAAGTAAACAATAACCCTAGTTATTCTTTAAAAAGAATGCGGTTCAAGTTAAACTAGTAATATATTTTGTCTGTTACAGTTCTTCCAACTAGTTCAGTTCAATGAAGATGGTCTTTCAAAGCTGGGAATTAAATTGAAACTGAAAGCAGTTCCTTCCTGCTTTTCACTCCGAGACTAAAAGCAGATGTCACAGGAGGATGTTTAATGGTTCTGGGATGACATGGCATCTAGCTCACTTCCCAACTTGTACACAACACACTCTTTGTTAAATAAATTGGTCTTAAAGTGTTCCTTTTTTAATATATTTTTTCTTCTACTTTACTAACAAAACTACCATCCTGCTTTACGTACTTTTAATTGGATTCTGGTCCCCATATGAATACAGGTTAAAAAAAAGTAATAGGAAATAATTTAAAATTATACATCTAATTTTAAAATCTGAAAGAACACATTTAAACTACATAACTTAAACCTTGGTCTCACAGTTGATAGTACAGACTGACAAGTTAAATATATGACCACATTAAAATATGTTGACAAAACTACCAGCTTGTAGGAATAGCACAAATTAAAGATGAATTAAAAAAACATTATTTAAACGAGCAAAAGATCAGTTTATCAGTTTATACTGTGAGATGTTCCAGCTACCTGAACTTCAGTGAAATACTGAGAATTACAACTGAACTCTTCAGTAAATGGAGAGTAGAGACAGAATCATGTGATTTATTTAAAAGAAAGGCTTTATAATAGCCCAGAATCTTTTTTCTCCCTACAGCCACATATATATGCCACTGTGCAATCTAGGATGTAGAAAATGTTGGTATGTTCTATAGCTAGAAAAGCAACAAAGATTTTACAAAGTTCAACTCCCATTTCATCAGACATGATGCTAAAGAGAGTAGTTAAGATTGTTTGTTTTATTAAAATTGTCTCTTTTTGTCTATTGCTTCTTATCTAGACTCCTTCTACCACCTCCAATTCAGTCACCAAGATTAACACATTGTCAGTCACGCCCTGCTTTTCATCTGAGTAATTTATAACGGCTGTGAAATAACATAAAATTCTGAAATACCAAAGAATTGAGGAACAAAACCTCAACTTCTGCCAACCTTTATATTGCACAATATATTGTTCAGCCATGTTGTTACACGTGGGGAAATTCACATCTGGTGAAACCTCAGTCAAGAAACACTAGCAATGGGCAGAGCAGTCACCTAGAAATGTGTTGGTTCCAGCTGCCTAGGTTACACAAAGCAATGATTTGAAGCCTACACTTTCATTTCAGTTTAATAAAATGTGGCTTTCTTTACATGCTGCCAGGTGCTACTAGTTCTAGTAACAGTTTTAAAATAAATACAGGGAACAATCATTGAAACTTTACTTAGCAGGGAAAAGTAAAGGTATTTGCATTTAGCTCCCACTAATACAAAAGAGGGAGAATGCTATTTCTTTGTAAAGGAGTTAAAATTCCACAGAATTAAAGAAAAAAAGAATTAAAGTTCTTCAGCAAGTAGAAGTCCATTACTGAATTAATTCTGGTTCCACAAAAACAGTATCTGCAGAATCCCTTGTGCTACGCTGGCTACATGCTGCAACCTGAAGAATTCACAACATAAATCGAGAAAGTTGTATTGGAGTGAATAAGCTGGCCATGGTGTTCCAGACAAAGCAGCTGTATATCTTTGCGAACATCTTATAAAAAGCTTTACAAGGCCCTGAGCAATCTGACCTAAATTTGAATTTAGTCTGGCTTTAAGCAGAGGAATGGACCAAATGACCTCCAAAGGTTATCCTTTCCAACCCCAATTATGCTAGGATTATAAGGGTCCTTCACATTTTATTACATTACCTGAGGTATTTGCTGACCAAACATTCCCCAAAATCCCCCAGCTGGAGTGCAGAAGGGCAAGAGGAGGGCGAGGACCAGGCTCCAGCTCCCAGCACCTCACCCCTCACTGGGGGGCTATTTTGGGTTAGGGCCATGCAAGGGAGCCTGTGCCAGGAAAAGCTGGCGAGTTTTGCCTTTCCTGACAGATTCCCATAGTAACTCATAGCTCTGGGTCCACTCTCCCAAAGGGAGCATAGATGAGATAGAAACACCCTCTTTTCTCTGAGGAGGGGACGTACCTGCGTTCAGCTTTACACAAGGGAAAGCAGAAGTGATTTTGCTGGCAGGGAGGAAGCACCGGGGGAATTGGAGACGCTTCGTGCAAAGCGGCTGTCTGACGAAATGACCCTTACAAAATACAGTCTCTGGATGGGCTGAGGTCCCCCCGCTGTGCCTGCATGCCAGCAGTGGGAAAGGCAGGGGCTGCCCGCCCGCCCACCCTGCACGCAGCCAGCCGCCTCTCCTAAAAACACAACTTGAAACCCCCAGCATGGCTTCCAGCCTCAACCACTGCAACGCAGAGGAAATGAAAGACGAAAGGACCGCCCTGCACGCACACCGAACACAGCCCTTCGACTGCCAAGAGCTGCCGTTCAGCTGCGAGTTAGCAAGCTGACAGCAGACCCCCACACCTCACTTGCTGTACTGCTCACGAGAGAAAGAAACTCCTATCACGAAGTCTCATTCTTCATACCCTGTCCCTATAGGTTGTACTACCTAGAACCCTTATCGCCAGCCTTCCTCCTCATCCATAGGTGTTCCCAGACTTTCTCCCTTTGCTCTCAGATGTTGCAGTCAACTGCTGCCACAGCCTAAACCCTCTCACCCAGCACCAGCACACCCAACTGGTTCCTCACTTTCTCCTCATTTTCTTGAATTGTTATTTAAACAGGTAACATGGAAGCAACCCTCAGAGGCACCCAGGTGCCCAGGCACAGCGTTCTTCCCCCTCCAGGAGTTTTGAGCCCAGGCATTTAAGGACAGGCAAAAACTTTTGGAAAGGAAATCGAGGAAATACTGGTTCCAAAGGAAGTCAGACCATAATTGTTCTAGTTCAGGGAACAGTAAGGAAATAACGTCCCTAGATTGTTCCTTTTTAAGAAATGGCAGAATGTCCATGTTTCTTTCCAGGCACTTCCTCATGCTGCAATTGATTTAGAGATAAACAAGAAACAAAGCTTCTGGGTTTTATCAGAAAAACCAGTATACTAGCACGACAATCAGTTTCGTTTCTTATCCAGCTCACTAAAATACCGCCAAGAGCATATTAACATAAGCCTCTGAGCTTACGCACGGAGGCCATTTATGCTCACGCATGGGGCCATTTAAACACCAAGCCTAGGCCCTTTCCAAGAAGGTTTATGACTCAAAAACCAGACTTAGAAAGCCTAATAGTTGTGAGGCATGCATTAGTTCACCCTAGCTAGCTTTGCGGCACTTCTTTTCATCGACACATCATATTAGACTATTTGGCCACTGGATTTTAACCTTGACTGCTAGAGAAACAGTATATTGAAAAGTAATCTAGTTGATCTAATTAAACAGGTTATTTTCTACTAAAGTTAACAAAATAGCCTTCAGAGAAGGAATGAAATGAGCTATAAGTTGACATAAAAGCATTTTGTTCTGAGAGGTACCCTCTCCCCTTACATAGGCATCTCTCCTAAAACCTGAGAGTCCCAACACCCGAGAGCCAAAAAACCAGGTCACACCCTGGGCATCCAGCCTCGCTGAGACCAGGGCACATCTCTAATGCCGCTCGCTTCACTGCGGGGTGACAGGACCACCATGGCCTGAGCCCTGCCGCTGCTGACAGCTCTCTCTCGAGCAGGGCTCTCCCAGGGCGGCCTCGGCAGCAAGATCTCTCCTTAAACCAGTCTCTGCAAGTGAGTTACTCTGCTGAAGAGAGGAGACGTTTTCTAACTTAACGTGCAATCCCCAGCTGGAAAACACGGCCCTTCCAATCATTAAGCATCCCTGTGATGAAAAAAAAAAAAAACCTGATACCTGAAAGGAGCCTCTAGAAGAAATCACATCCGGTAGATACCTGACAGGACCACCTAGAAGAACTCACATACGGTAAAGACACTTATATTCACAGCAAAACAATACCCGTTCCCAAAGCCGAGGAGCCGCTCCAGGGAGTCCGGCACCGAGCCCCGCTTCCAGCCG